TCCTAGAGCCAAAACTACAAAGATGAGACTATCACAATTCAGACATACTGTATTATAAAGCATAGTTAAAGTGCAGGACAGTAGCAAAAGAGGGAGACAGCATTACACTTCAGTCAAGGAAGTTACAACTCTGATTTTGCTGAGATCTCTCATTCATAGGGTCCTGATGAAGCCAACTTGATAGAATTAACATTGAAAGGTCTGAAGAGCAAACTCACTAACTCAAGAGACACAAAAAGGGGATTCTGCTTTGTACTTTACTATACTGTGACATGTACAGTAGAGTCTCATTTATCCAACATAAACAGGCCGGCAGAACACGGATAAGCTAAAATGTTGGATAATAAGGAGGGATTAAGGAAAAGCCTATTAAAAGTCAAATTATGTTATGATTTTACAAATTAAGCACCAAAACATCATGTTTTATAACAAACGGACAGAAAAAGCAGTTCAATACATGGTAATGCTATGTAGTAATTACTATATTTACGAATTTAGCACCAAAACATCACATTGTATTGAAAACATTGAGTACAAAAACACTGACTACATGTTTTTCTAGGCAGCAATGTGTTGTTTGTTTTTCTAGGCAGCAACGTGCAGTGGGCCTCTCCGCGCACCCGTCGGGAGGGGCGAGACATGGTTGGTGCAGGCCGGACGCTGTGCCCTACAGGAAAAGTCTGAATTGGCTGTGTCTCACCCCTCCCGATGGGCGCATGGCATGCAGAAAGGCTCGCTGCGCACTGCTGCTTCGAGAAATAGCTGTGGATGCGACCGATAATACACAACGTCAGATGAGTGAAGGTTGGATAAGCAAGACTCTACTGTAGCATGTCAATGCTCTCATGAAAGAGGAGCACAAACTGGAAAAGTCAGCTCTGGTTCATTTGTAACTTCTCTCAAGTAGCTGAGTTCCCATTACTTTCGAATACTTAGGCGTTAACAGGAAGTGCCTGCAGAAACTGCTTAGGAGGGCAGATGCTTTGCATGAATTGCTTTATAGTGGTCTGTTAAGTACTTTTCAACCTGATCTGGAACTGAGTTCAGTTAATACTATTGCATAGGAAGACAGAATTCCAATGGCTCCAGACGAGCATGTAGCTTTCCCATTTCTCTTAAAGAGAAAAGGAAAGAAGATAAAAAGCAATACAGAAGTCATTTCCTTTAATAACAGAACAAGTCCAAGATGTGAAGCTTGCAAGACCACAAGCAAATAAATTGATTTTGGCAAAAGCTCTGTTTTTGTCAAATATTATGATAGAGTTGTCCGGCTATGTTATTATTTAATTTTATTTATCAGTTACTTTGTTATAGTTATTAATTCGCTTTTGGGATTAGTCAGGGTTCTTTATTTTGTCTTTATTTAATGTATTATGGCATTGAATGTTTGCCATTTTTTGTTGGAAGCTGCTCTGAGTCCCTTTGGGGAGATAGGGAGGAATATAAATAAAGTTTTTATATTATTATTATTAGTATTATTATTGAGAAAATGTTTAATAATAATAATGTTTCTGTCCTGACCTGGCACTTGCTGGGCTGAAGGAACCAGATCTCCAAAGGGTACTTCTGTGAAGTAATGGAATTACCCACTCTCTTGATTTTGATCAAAAATAAAGCAAGAAGGAAAAGGAATGAAAAATTAAGCCGGGTTAAGTTGTTTTCACTGGGAAACACTGCTGTGGCCCTGTTTGCATCCAATCTATATACAAAAAAGCTGTAGTTTCAGAAATTGAGAAGACACTTTTACTATTCATTAGACATCAGAATGTGAAACACTTCCATGTAACTCTTTGGTGTATGATGGGATGTATTATTGTCTAACTGTTAAACATTTGGAATTCTGGTTAGGAAAGCAAACACTGGTTCTCAAAATTTTCCAGGAGCCAAAATGGCAACAGACTAGAAAATGTCTTCTCACCTAATAAATGTTCCTTCAGAACAGAAAACCAAAACACTAGTGACATGAAAAACCTGCATTGCTGCTTAAAGTTTTCCACCTATGATGTAGATATGTGATTTTCCACCTTCTTGGACAGAAAGGAAAGGGTGTGCTCCAAAAAAAAACAGGGTAAGATGGGTTCTAGAGTAGAGAATACCAAGGAACTTGGGGAGGGGAGCTATCCTGAGTTTTGTTAAGGGTGCCTCCAGTTCAGAAATAGATATATAGTCTTTAAACAGCATGCACAATACCGTATAATATCTGGTTGAGGAAACAATTAGTAGGTTAGTCTCATCCAAAGTATACTATATCAGCACAGTATCATGAGAGGACAGCTCCCGTGCTGCTGCAGCTCCACTGGTTGCCAGTCATGGGAGCTGTCCTCTCATGATACTGTGCTGATATAGCATCACAGTATACTTTGGATGAGACTAACCTACTAATTGTTTCCTCAACCAGATATTATACGGTATTGTGCATGCTGTTTAAAGACTCTATATATCTATTTCTGATAAATAGATATATATCTATATCTATTTAGCTAAATACAAAATGCTGGTCGTTAGCTATAAAGTCGTATATGGTTCAGGTCCAGGCTATTTGTCTAATTGTGTCTCCCAATACAGACCATCCCGTGCATTGCAGTCAACGGAGGAGGCCCTCCTTTTGGTCCCACCCCCATCACAAGCTTGGTTGGTGAGAACAAGAGGGGGTTTCTCCATGATCGCTCCCTGTCTCTAGAACTTCCTCCCTAAAGAAATAAAAATGGCCCCCACCTCTCCTTTGAGAAATTTTTGAAGACACACTTATGCACTTTGGCATATGGAGGGGGAAGTATAGGAAACTTTAATTCACTGGAATGGGCTAACCCACTGTATTATATGGCAGCTATGATACATTTTAAATTAACTTCTGTGCTAGCCATCTTTAATATAATGCATTTTAATTGTTGTTCACGGCATATGCCTTAATGTTTACTCATAAAACATTGTAGTTGTAGTTCACTATGTCCTACTGAATTGTTTATATTTTGTTTTTCATTTCAATGCTTAGTCCTTTTATTATAAATGTACTGTTGTTATTGTGCAGTACTCTGAATTTATTTTTGATCTGTTGGTACTTATTTGAGGCATTGAATGTTTGCCTTTTTTGTGTGTAAAGTGCCCTGAGTCCCTTCGGGGAGAGGCGGTGGTCTAGAAATAAAGGGGTTTCTATCATTATCATCATCATCATCATCATCATCATCATCATCATCATCATACTATGAATAAAAGTTCAGTATAATATATTTAACCAGGAAAAGTTTCAATATAATGTTTTATTATACAACTTTTTGAGAAAATATCTATAATCCCTCTCATTTCAAAAGCGTATTCATTATAAGAAACTATTTAGGAAACTAATGAGTATGCTTTAAAAAAATGAAATCTGCATGGAATTGCATAATTTTACACACAAGCATCCTATTGTTATAGTAATGTTTATTTTGTTTCTAATATAATTGTTCTATGTTTGTAGTTTACAATTATAAATCTCAAAACAGTAGAACTAAGTTATACTGAGGGCTGCTGTTTTCATTTGCTTTTAGGAATCATATGTTTATACTGTACTGCCTTCTTCATCTGGGAGAATTCTTGATCTCTCTTTTAGTGGGCAATCTAACAAGGGGTGTAACGAACATAGGAAAATGGAATGGTTGACAATGTGATTGGACAATGTTTTAACAAGGAGACTCTAATGAATATGTGTTTTTAATTGACTTTGTTATGGTTTTATATTCTCTGATTGGGAGCCCACAGTGGTGCAGTAGGTTAAACCCCTGTGCCGGCAGGCCTGAAGACTGACAGGTCGCAGGTTCGAATCCAGGGAGAGCGCAGATGAGCTCCCTCTATCAGCTCCAGCTCCTCATGCAGGGACATGAGAGAAGCCTCCCACAAGTATGATAAAACATCAAAAACATCCGGGCTTCCCCTGGGCAATGTCGTTGCAGACGGCCAATTCTCTCACACCAGAAGCGACTTGCAGTTTGTCAAGTCGCTCCTGACATGACAAAAAAATTTCTCTGATTGTTTTTGTGGTTTTATATTTATCGTGTCATCCGCAACCAGAACATTGTATTACATTTCTAACAGAACAAAACAAACAAACAGATTAAAAAAAAACACAAATTTTGCAAACTTGGTAGTTGATTAAATGTCCTTTGACCAGTATCTGGCCACTTGGAGTGCCTCTGGTGTTGCCGCATCGTGCATGTGGCAGGGCTCAGGTTGCATTGCAGCAGGTGGTCAGTGGTTTGCTCTTCTCCACACTCGCATATCGTGGATTCAACTTTGTAGCCCCATTTCTTAAGATTGGCTCTGCATCTCATGGTGCCAGAGCGCAGTCCGTTCAGCGCCTTCCAAGTCCCCCAGTCTTCTGTGTGCCCAGGGAGAGTCTCTCATCTGGTATCACCCACGGATTGAGGTGCTGGGTTTGAGCCTGCCACTTTTGAACTCTCACTTGCTGAGGTGTTCCAGCAAGTGTCTCTGTAGATCTAAGAAAACTATTTTTGTGGTATTGAAATTGTATTGGTATTAACTGTACACTGCCCCGAGTCGCCTGCGGGCTGAGAGGGACGGCATATAAATATAGTAAATAAATAAATAAAAATACTTCTTTTTCAGTTACTTCAAAGTATAACTCACTCCTGCCTGTGTCCTGTACAGAAGTTGTGAAAGAGTTGAGAGAGGAAACAAAATATACTCACGATGTATTCCCACTCTCCAGTTTTTGATTGTTTACAGTTTTTGAATACTGCCATTTTTTATGTTTGTTTGTTTACCTCGACACTCCCCTCACTAAAAGTTGTCACAAAAACAAACAACCGCTCAGGAAGTGCTTGGCTGCCTTTGACAAAGACTGAAGTAGATAGTTCCAACTCCCTCCCTGGAGGGATTTGCTTTGCAGGAGCCCTATTCAAGGAACMCCCCCCCCCCCCCCAAACTGAGGAATTGGGGACCTGCAGCCCCACAGGTGAGCTCCATCCTTAACCCTTTTGAAGGACCACCGGCAGAGTACTTACAGGCCGCATCCACCCAGCAGACAGCCATCGCCCAGCGGCAAGGGCCACCCCCGGGCCCTCCACCGGCACCGCCACCACCACTGGCTTCCCGGCCACCCAAAGGAGCCCCGCGCCAGAATACAGGAAGCGCCTCCACGGATACAGCCAATCAGAGGGCCACAACAGCCGCCGCCCTTTGCATGCTGGGAAGGGTAGTTTTCTCCCTCGGAGAAGCAGGCCGCGGCGAGAAGGAATGATCCCGGTGCATTTCGGGAACTGTAGTTTTGGACACGATGTATTCCCACTCTCCAGTTTTTGATTGTTTACAGTTTTTGAATACTGCCATTTTTTATGTTTGTTTGTTTACCTCGACACTCCCCTCACTAAAAGTTGTCACAAAAACAAACAACCGCAAACAAAAAACAAACAGACATCATTGAGGTGCTCAAGCTCCAGCAAAGGATCACCGCCTTGTCGGGGCGCTGGAGCTTGAGCACCTCAATGAGGTCATGAGCGAAACCGTGAAGGGACACCCAAGACGGGACGGTTGTGGCAGAGAGGTCAGACCAAGCGTGATCCCTGGGGAAGGCAATGGCAAACCACTCCAGTATCCTTGCCAAGAAAACTAAATGGACCAGTACAACCAGAGATATGTCGGTATGCCATTGGAAGATGGGACTCCCAGGTCGGAAGATGGCCAAAATGCTACTGGGGAGGAGCAGGGGATAAGTTCAACTAGCCCCAGATGTGATGACGCAGCTAGCTCAAAGCCGAAAGGAAGGCTAGCGGCCGACGGTACTGGAGGTGAACGACGAATCCGATGCTCTAAAGATCAACACACCATAGGAACGTGGAATGTAAGATCTATGAGCCAGGGCAAATTGGATGTTGTTATTGGTGAGATGTCAAGACTAAAGATAGACATTCTGGGGGTCAGCGAACTGAAATGGACTGGAATGGGCCACTTCACATCAGATGACCACCAGATCTACTACTGCGGACAAGAGGAACATCGAAGAAATGGAGTAGCCTTCATAATTAATAAGAAATCGCTAAAGCGGTGCTTGGATACAACCCAAAAAATGACAGAATGATCTCAATTCGAGTGCAAGGAAAGCCTTTCAACATCACAGTGATCCAAATATACGCCCCAACCACAGCTGCTGAAGAAGCAGAAGTAGATCAGTTCTATGAAGATCTGCAGGACCTACTGGATAATACACCAAAAAGAGACATTATTTTCATTACAGGAGACTGGAATGCCAAGGTGGGAAGTCAAATGACAACTGGGATCACAGGCAAGCATGGTCTGGGAGAACAAAATGAAGCGGGACGCAGGCTGATAGAATTTTGCCAGGAAAAGTCGCTGTGTATAACGAATACTCTCTTCCAACAACCTAAAAGACGGCTTTACACATGGACCTCACCAGACGGTCAACACCGAAATCAGATTGACTATATCCTTTGCAGCCAAAGGTGGCGGACATCCATCCAGTCGGTGAAAACAAGACCTGGGGCTGACTGTAGCTCAGATCACGAACTTCTTATTGCCCAATTTAGAATAAAACTAAAGAGATCAGGGAAAATACACAGACCAGTTAGATATGATCTCACTAACATTCCTAGCGAATATACAGTGGAAGTGAAGAACAGATTTGAAGGACTAGATTTAGTAAACAGAGTCCCAGAAGAACTATGGACAGAAGTCCGAGACATTGTTCAGGAGGCGGCAACAAAGTACGTCCCAAAGAAAAAGAAAACCAAGAAGGCAAAATGGTTGTCTGCTGAGACACTGGAAGTAGCCCAAGAAAGGAGGAAAGCAAAAGGAAACAGGGATAAGGGGAGATATGCCCAGTTAAATGCGCAATCCAGAGGTTAGCCAGAAGAGATAAGGAACTATTTTTAAATAAGCAATGCATGGAAGTTGAAGAAGACAACAGAATAGGAAGGACAAGAGACCTCTTCCAGAAAATTAGAAACATTGGAGGTAAATTTCAGGCAAAAATTATGATAAGAAACAAAGATGGCAGGGACCTAACAGAAGCTGAAGAGATCAAGAGAAGGTGGCGAGACTATACAGAAGATCTGTATAGGAAGGATAATAATATTGAGGATAGCTTTGATGGTGTGGTGAATGAATTAGAACCAGACATCCTGAGGAGTGAGGTTGAATGGGCCTTAAGAAGCATTGCTAACAACAAGGCAGCAGGAGATGACGGGATCCCAGCTGAACTGTTTAAAATCTTAAAAGATGATGCTGTCAAGGTGATGCATGCCATTTGCCAGCAAATATGGAAAACACAAGAATGGCCATCAGACTGGAAAAAATCCACTTATATCCCCATACCAAAAAAGGGAAATGCGAAAGACTGCTCAAACTTCCGTACAGTGGCCCTTATTTCTCATGCCAGTAAGGTAATGCTCAAGACCCTGCAAGGAAGACTCCAGCAATACATGGAGCGAGAGTTGCCAGATGTTCAAGCTGGGTTTAGAAAAGGTAGAGGAACGAGAGACCAAATTGCCAATATCCGCTGGATAATGGAGAAAGGCAGGGAGTTTCAGAAAAACATCTACTTCTGCTTCATTGACTATTCTAAAGCCTTTGACTGTGTGGATCATAATAAATTGTGGCAAGTTCTTGTGGGATGGGCATCCCAAGCCTTGTCTCTCTCCTGAGGAATCTGTACAAGGACCAAGTAGCAACAGTAAGAACTGACCATGGAACAACAGACTGGTTCAAGATTGGGAGAAGGCGTACGGCAAGGCTGCATCCTCTCACCCAACCTTTTTAACTTGTATGCAGAACACATCATGCGATGTGCGGGGCTGGATGAATGCAAAGCTGGGGTGAAAATTGCTGGAAGAAACATTAACAACCTCAGATATGCAGATGACACCACTCTGATGGCCGAAAGCGAGGAGGAGCGGAGGAGCCTTCTAATCAAGGTGAAAGAAGAAAGCGCAAAAGCCGGGTTGCAGCTAAACGTCAAAAAAACCAAGATTATGGCAACAAGAATGATTGACAACTGGAAAAGAGAGGGAGAAACCGTGGAGGCCGTGACAGACTTTGTATTTCTAGGTGCAAAGATTACTGCAGATGCAGACTGTAGCCAGGAAATCAGAAGACGCTTACTTCTTGGGAGGAGAGCAATGTCCAATCTCAATAAAATAGTAAAGAGTAGAGACATCACACTGGCAACAAAGATCTGCATAGTCAAAGCCATGGTATTCCCTGTAGTAACCTACGGATGTGAGAGCTGGACCTTAGGGAAGGCTGAGCAAAGGAAGATAGATGCTTTTGAGCTGTGGTGTTGGAGGAAAGTTCTGAGAGTGCCTTGGACTGCGAGAAGATCCAACCGGTCCATCCTCCAGGAAATAAAGCCCGACTGCTCACTGGAGGGAAGATACTAGAGACAAAGTTGAAGTACTTTGGCCACATCATGAGGAGACAGGAAAGCCTAGAGAAGACAATTATGCTGGGGAAAGTGGAAGGCAAAAGGAAGAGGGGCCGACCAAGGGCAAGATGGATGGATGGCATCCTTGAAGTGACTGGACTGACCTTGAGGGAGCTGGGGGTGGTAACGGCCGACAGGCAGCTCTGGCGTGGGCTGGTCCATGAGGTCACGAAGAGTCGGAGACGACTGAACGAATGAACAACAACAAGTTTTGGACAACGTTGTGGCTGAAATGATTCCAGAGCCTTGAGCCATTGCAGATAGTGTCAAACTACATTAATTCTACACTGTAGAATTCTTCATGCTCTAGAGTTCTGGAAGTTGTCATTTCACAAACTCAACTCTGGTAGCAATCAGCCAGGCTTTGAAGCTGCAAGGCCATTCAATGCTAATCAAGGTGGCCAATTGCAGCATTCACACTTGCCTCAAACAGACAAGAGTTCTTTCTCCCACCCTGGACATTCAACAGATATATAAACCCCTTGTCTAGTTTCCAACATACCTGTCAACCTCTAAGGATGCCTGCCATAGATGTGGGCGAAACGTCAGGAGCGAATGCTTCTGGAACATGGCCATACAGCCCGAAAAACTCACAGCAACCCATCTTCTCTGGTACCTCACCAAAATAAATCCTATGACTCCACAGCATGGAGCCACAGCAGTTAAAGGCCCCTTCTATTCTGCCCTATATCCCAGGATCTGATCCCAGATTATTTGGCAGTGGAGACTCATATAATCCAGTTTAAATCAGATAATCTGGGATCAGGTCTCGGGGTATACGGCTACGTAGAAGGGGCTGAGCTGTATTAAGTCTACAGTATAAAATATTTAGGATAGTCTTGTTGTAAGGACTTAAATACCCTAAAATCATCCAATTCTCTCTAGGTCCTTTTACACAGCCATATAACCCAGAATATCAAGGCAGATCATCCACAATATCTACTTTGAACTGGGTTATCCGAGTCCACGCTGCTATATATTCCAGTTCAAAGCAGAAAATGTGGGATTTTATTCAGCTGTGTGGAAGGGGCTTAAGAAAACTATTAAATCCATGGGGTCACCATATGTTGGCAGACAATAGAAACTATCAGTGTGGTTTGTGCATTGGAATAGGACTCCCAGGATGTAAACTTGCTTAGCAACTCACACTCAGCCTGAAGGGGAAGGAAATGGTAAACACCCTCTCAACAAATCTTGCCCAAGGAAATTCCACAATATCACTAGTTGGAAATGACTTGAATGCACACAGAATCATCTGTATTGTTAGGACCTGTTGCTAAGCAAACATATGTCTGAACTATCAGTGGATGCTAAAGAAGAAAACCACTCAGTCCTATAGGGAAAATGGTAACGTTCCTCTGAACAAATCTTGCCAAGGAAGTCCTGTGATAAGATAATGACTTGATGGCACACTACAACAACACAGCACAGAGGAATGTGTGTGCAAAAATGCTACAAGCATGTGCACCCATCAATTTGTACAAATGCCATAGTTAAATACCACTGATAAAGCCCTGGACTGTATTTAATTACACAGCTTTCCTATGTAATAAACTAAAGCAGACTGATTCAACAAGTTGTTTCCAGGTTGTTGTTGTTGTTTACTTCAGGTCTTCAAAGGGTTGTGGAACAATCCAAAATGGTTTCCAAAATGCTCTACAGCCAAAATTCATTCATTTTGATTAGAAACAAAGGTATGTAAATGTTTTAAACTAACAGGATACAATATAGTTTGCAATAACACGAATTTTGCACAATAATCATCTTTCTTTTTTTTAATTTTTGGAAATGCATCTTTGGTTCCTTTTGGGGGGACTCCCAAAAATGCATTTCTCATCCCAGCGAGTTGAGCACTGGATTACAATTCTAAAGGTCAGGATTTTAATTCCCTTTTTTATTTATTTACTATATTTATATACCGTGTTTCTCTCCCCTGGGGGAGACTCAAGGCAGTTTACAACATATTAATGGCAACAATAAAATGACAATATACATGTAAAAAGAAAAATCATAATAACTTTAAAAAAATATTTTTATTGTTTCTTAGTGTATGTAGAAAACAAAACAAATGAACAAAAGGAAAAAAGGAACAAAGAAAACATATGCAAAAGATTTACAAAAGAGTCAATATTCATTAAACATATATACAATCAGATTTGGTTGTACAATTATTTATACCTTAATATTACATAACCCTCTATCTCCCACCCGTGAACCCCACCCCCTGACCTCCGAAACCCCTCAAAACAGGATCGCATTACTAAACAACAACTACCCAAATATCTTTTTTCACTGAATCCCTTTATGGCAATTTTCAAGTTTACCTTTGTCTTCTTTTCCAAATACCCAAGTGCCAGCCTCCATTTATTTGCAAATTCTTCATTATTTCCTCCTCAGCTGCTATTTGTCAGCTTGGCCATTTGGATATAATCTGCTAACTTATATCTCCAATCTTTAATAGATAACTCTTTTTCCAGGTTCTTGTGGGTTTTTTCAGGCTATAGGGCCATGTTCTAGAGGCATTTCTCCTGACGTTTCGCCTGCATCTATGACAAGCATCCTCAGAGGTAGTGAGGTCTGTTGGAATTAGGACAATGGGTTTATATATCTGTGGAATGGCTGAGTTGGGGCAAAGAGCTCTTCTCTGCTGGAGCTAGGTGTGAATGTTTCAACTGACCACCTTAATTAGTATTTGAAGGCCTGGCTGAGCCTGGGAAAATCTTTTGTTGAGAGGTGTTAAGATGTGCCTGGTTGTTTCCTCTCTGCTGTTTTGCTGTTGTAATTTTAGAGTTTTTTTTAATACTGGTAGCCAGATTTTGTTCATTTTCATGGTCTCTTCCTTTCTGTTGAAATTGTCCACATGCTTGTGGATTTCAATGGCTTCTCTGTGTAGTATGACATGGTGGTTTGTTGGTGTGGTCCAGCATTTCTGTGTTCTCAAATAATATGCTGTGTCCAGGCTGGTTCTCTTTTTCCCTTTTCCAAGTTTTGGCTATTATTAGTCTTGCCGCAACAAAGCAATATTGACAAATTTCTTCATCTCCTGCACTGATACGCATTCTAAATAAACCTAAAAGGCACATTCCGGGTTTTTCTTAACTTTTTTGTTAATCATATTGTTTGTTTGTTTCACCACTTTTCCCCAAAATTCTTTAACTATATTACAATAATAGTTAACTATATTTAACTATATTACAAAATCATAATAACTAAACACTAACATAAAACTATAAATTAAAATCATTAAAACTATGGAGCCCCCAATTGTGCAATGGGTTAAACCCTTATGCTGGCAGGACTGAAGGTTCGAATCCAGGAACTGCATGGATGAGCTCCCTTTGTCAGCCCCTCTACCCATGCGGTGACATAAAAGAAGCCTCCCACAAGGTGGCAACATCCTTGCAAACAGCCAATTCTCTCACACCAGAAGCGACTTGCAGTTTCTTTCTAATAGCCACCACTCTTAATAGCCTTAGACCCTTTCCTTTCCCCCCTCAGCCATTTAAGCAAAAAAGGATGGGACCTAAGCAGGGCCGTAGCCAGAAATAAATTTCGGGAGGGGTTGAAAATTTGGGGGGGGGGGGGGGTGAAACCTGCCTCCTAGCTCACGCTGAAGCAAAGAGCACAGCAGGGGGCAGAGCAGCCTTCAATAGCCTGCAGCTCCGCCCCTGTCAACCACCTCCACCAAGTCTGGCCTCCTTAATGAGAGCATTCAAAACACACACACCCAACTTGGTTGCGTCACTACATCGGCTATTGCTGCAAGTAATGACAGTGTGAATAAATTGTCAATATTTGCTTGAGATAGTGCTTACAGTTCTGGAGGGACTCTTAATTTTTTGCATCTCATAGACTTAGCATGGGGATTTGGTTAACCAGTTAAAATTCATGAGTAAACCAGGTTTTTTAAAAAAATCTGAAACATTGGGGGGGGGGGTTGAACCCCTAAAACCACCCCCTCACTACAGGCCTGGACCTAAGGTATTAGGAATTGTGAGAGTTGAAGTCCAAAGCACATTGAGGGCTGGCGTTTGCCCATGCGCGGGACCCATTTAAAGCAGTTCAAACTGCATTATATGGACCAGCATTATATACTTAGTGAAGACCCATTTAACGCAGTTCAAACAGCATATGGCTCTACATTGACCATATATTACTGTTCAAAAGGCCGTATTTGGCAGCATAGATCCAGCCTTAGCCCCCACTCCTCCACACAGCTGAATAAAACCCCACATTTTCTGTTTAGAACTGGAATATATGACAGTGTGGACTCAAATAACCCAGTTCAAAGCCGATATTGTGGGATTTTCTGCTTTAATATTCTGGGTTATAAGGCTGTGTGGAAGGTCCTTTAGGTGTATATGTCTCTGAGCCCTTCCACACAGCCCTATCTCCCAGAATATCAAGGCAGAACATCCCACAATATTTGCTTTGAACTGGGTTATCTGAGTCCACACTCAGATAATGTGGCAGGGCCCCCAGTGCCAGGAGGTTGAGAGAGCTCTCCTCCGCCTGCCCTTTGAATGACAACATTTTAGACAAACAGGAAAGGTGGGCGGGGATGCAAAGGTGGTGAAGCGAGGGGCGGGGCCAGGCCTGGACGGCCATGAAGTTTCACCTATAACAGCTCTGGCCGAGCGAGCGACCAATGCGCTGCGAAACTCAAAGCGAAGGAGGCGGGGAGGCGAGGGCTTGGCGGAGGAGGAAGGAGAGGAAGGAAGGCCGGGTGGGGCTTGGCTGGCTTGAGCCGAAGGAGGAAAGGCGGGCGAGAGGGGCTTTCCGGAGGAGACAAGGCTTGCCCATCGACGAAGGAAGACCTGAGGCTGGAGAGAGAGGAAGGCAGAGAGGGCAAAGACGGCCTGTGGTGAGTTTCTGTAGAGATGAAGAAAGAAAGATTATTGGGGCTTCTTCTTGTCTTGAGAGGAATAGGAAGCCAAGGCGACACGTTGAGGAGGAGGAACTCAGGGCGAGGAGGAAGAGCCCTGTGGGAAGAAGAAGAAGGGGAGGAAGGCAATGGGGGCAACGTGGGAGAAGCTCCCCCAAAGTGCCTCCTCTGAAGCCCTGGCTTGGATTTTGGCTGCCTAGTTTCAGAAGTGTTTCCCATGTAGGACTAGGCCCGGCTTCCTGTGGTCTGGTTGGGTCTCTCTGAAGCAGGCATCACTATCAGATTGTTGTCCTCCAGCTGTTTGGGCCTCCAACTCCCAGAATTCCTTAAAGCCTCTGGGAGTTGGAGGCCCAAACAGCTGGAGGGCCACAGTTTGAGTGTGCCAGAGTGTGTGCATGTGTGTGTCCTCATCAGAGGTTGACCTAAGTAATTTTCAATGGTAAGCAAACTATTTTGCCTGTAATTGTCGAAGGCTTTCATGGCTGGAATCACTAAGTTCTTGTGGGTTTTTTCGGGCTATATGGCCATGTTCTAGAGGCATTTCTCCTGACGTCAGGAGAAATGCCTCTAGAACATGGCCATATAGCCCGAAAAAACCCACAAGAACTTAGTATTTTGCCTCTCTCTTCTCCCCCCCCCTCCAAAACCAATCACTGATATATATTTTCTGTTCGTCATGGGAGTTCTGTGTGCCATATTAGGTTCAATTCCATCATTGGTGGAGTTCAGAATGCTTTTTGATTGTAGGTGAACTATACATCCCAGTAACTACAACTCACATATGTCAAGGTCTATTTTCCCCCAAGAGCACCTCAAGAGTGCCCCTGGGCAAAATCAACTATACTGCAAATGCTTACTTAGCGTAATGGGTTGAGCCACCCCTGGTCCTCATTTTTGTTCTGTGTGTTTTTTTTAAACCCTGGCAGGGTTATCCCCTTCAATAATAATAATAATAATAACTTTAGGTTCTTCTGGGTTTTTTCAGGCTACAGGGCCATGTTCTAGAGGCATTTCTCCTGATGCAGGCAAAACATCAGGAGAAATGCCTCTAGAACATGAACCTATAGCCCGAAAAAACCCACAAGAACCTAATAATAACTTTGTTTATACCCCGCCACCATCTCCCCAAGGGGTCTCGGGGCGGCTAACATGAGGCCAAGCCCAATTATTACAACAAAGCAAAAAGAATACAAACATACAATCATAATCAAATAAAATACAATAAAATATCAAAAGAAAATAATACAAAATTCAAGTGCACTTTAATTGTCAATAATAATAATAAACTTAATTTATAACCCCCCTCTCCTCAAAGGGACTCAGGGCAGTTTACAGGAATAACAAAATGGCAAACGTTCAATGCCAAAACCAAATAGACCAGTGGTTCTCAACCTTTGGGTTCCCAGATGTTTTGCCCTTCAACAGCTGGTAAAATGGCTTGGATTTCTGGGAATTGTAGGCCCAAACACCTGGGAACCCACAGATTGAGAACCACTGATCTATTTGGTTTTGGCATTGAACGTTTGTCATTTTAGACAATCAAAATAAAACATAGAGTGAAATAAACTCAATATAGATTGTTTTATCTTTTTTTGGGCTATATGGCCATGTTCTAGAGGCATTCTCTCCTGACGTTTCGCCTGCATCTATGGCAGTGGTTCTCAACCTGTGGGTCCCCAGGTGTTTTGGCTTACAACTCCCAGAAATCCCAGCCAGTTTGCCAGTGGTTAGGATTTCTGGGAGTTGAAGGCTAAAACATCTGGGGACCCACAGGTTGAGAACCACTGATCTATGGCAAGCATCCTCAGAGGTAGCTTCTACCTACTTCTGAGGATGCTTGCCATAGATGCAGGTGAAACATCAGGAGAGAATGCCTCTAGAACATGGCCATATAGCCCGAAAAAACCTACAACAACCCAGTGATTCCGGCCATGAAATCCTTCGACAATACATAAACTCAATATAGCTTATAACAATCAAACAAGAATTAACTCAATGAACATAAAACACGAAGAATTATACTAATTAATATACAATACATTAAAAGCACAAGGTAGTATAATATAACATATAGCGTAACACAGGGTTCTTCAAACTAAGGCCCAGGGGCCAGATAAGACCCTCCAAGATCATTTACTCAGCCCTCACTCAGGGTCAGCCTAAGTCTGAAACGACTTGAAAGCACACAACAACAACAATCTTTTCCCATCAGCCAAAAGCAGGCCCACATAACCCATTGAAATACTAATAAGTTTATATTTGTTAAAATTGTTCTGCATTTTAATTATTGTATTGTTTTAAAGTGTTTTTTGCATGACAAATAAGATATGTGCATTGTGCATAGGAATTAATTCATTTTTTTTTTCCAAATTATAATCCGGTCCTCCCAACAGTTTGAGGGACTGTGACCTGGCCCTCTGTTTAAAAAGTTAGAGGACCTCTGGCATAACATATCAGCCAAGGCTGTATGCTATTGGATTCTGGGGTTTGTTGTTGTAATAATAATAACAAAAATATTTGTACCCTGCCTCATGTCCCTGAGGAACTCGGGATGGCTCACAACATGAATAAATACAATAAAGTACAAAAATAATACATCAAATCAATATAAAAAACAAACAAGATAAGCCAAAACACAAGTAAACAAAATTAACAATAAAAATAATAAAACATTAGCTAAAAACACACGTAATTCCTAAGTTAGAAGGGCCCTACTACCCAACTCGAGGTATATCCATAGAAACAAAGACCTTGTTCACATTAAAAGTGTTGACTACATTGCCCAAAGCCTGTTTAAACAGCCATGTCTTAAAATCCCACCTAAATGTAAGGGTGAGATTGTCTAATCTTGCTGGGAAGGCTGTTTCAGAGCCAGGGGCCACTACTGAGAAGTCCATCTCCCTTGTCCCCACAATCCTCGCTTGTGATGGGTTACATTATAACATTAGTAACAATAACATATAACATTATAATCATAATAAGGTTAACAAAGGAACATCTATGGAGGGAGACTCAAGCCATGAATCTGAAATGCTGAGAGGAAAATAACACTATATAACAATATAACATTAATACAAACAATAACAGATAACAATATAATCATAATAAGGATGGTTTTATGAGGTATGTGCCCTTCTCTGGCTCCATCTATGCTGCCATATATAGGCAGTCACTGAGTTACAAACATCCGATTTACAAACGACTCATAGTTAAGACCACAGGAAGTGAGAGAAATCTACCCCTTGGAAGGGGAAGTCACTCCTGGAAGAGTTATCCTGGGAAAAGGTGTCTCAGCTGAAGCTCTATCACCAATCCTTGTTTTTGCAATAAGTTTTTCAAAATCCAATAATCACAGGGACAGAAAATTTACAGAACCTATCTTGTTCATAACTTGAGGACTGTCTGTAATGCAGTTTGATACTGCATTATATGTCAGCATATACAGTTCATTTATATGAGTCTACACACAGACCGTATCATGCAGTTTCAAACTACGCTATATGACGGCATAAGTGGGGCCTCTGTTAGTGAGCTTTCGTACCACTACAGATAACAGAATTTTATTGTATTAAACCATTATGGTAAACTGCTATAATTTTGCAGTGTTAGAGCAATAGAATGGTTTTTTTAATAGTAAAGCCACCATTCTTTCTACAGGTTGTCCCCAAAGTCACTATTAATAGGGACATTTTAGTAAAATTACCTTTATTTACAAAACATTCCTTATAAAATTTTGCAAAAATATTCTCTACATGTTGTATATCTGAAAATATAAAAAATAGAATGTATATACATATTAAAATATAGAAAATATGAGTTTGTTCACTTTTCCTATGTATAGAGACTTTTGCGACACCCTGGTTTGTTTGTTTTTAAAAAAGGAACTGTTATCTTTCACAATCTAGTGAGCAGAGGAAGTTTCACATACAGCTCAATGTTTTGGCTGTTTTGCATTACAGACATACCACAGTTAATAAAGTCGATGAGTTCCTAGGAATTACATCTTCAACAGAAACTAGGACCAGAGGCAGAAGTACTATAATATGGAAAGAATAGAGCAAGGTTCCTACACAATAAAACAAAAGAGCAGGGCAATGAGTTTCAGCAAACTTTTTCTGCAAGGCATACAATATGTGAAATAAAATGAACAGGTTACGCACGCCTTATTCAGATTTCTAAAATACAGTAGACTTTCAGTTAACTGGCACCCATGGGAATTGGTAGATGCCAATAAATGTAGTTTTTGGTTGCTTGGGGGTTACTATTAAAAATAGTCCTAACTAATATTATACCTCATACTATATCATACCATCTATTCTGCATTGACTTGATCTTAATGCTGAAATATAGTAATTAAAAGCAAATTAAGACAAGCTTAGTATAACACAGTGTTACATTTTCACTTACGATTGATCTTATTTTTGTTTTTATTTAAAACATTCCTTTTATTTTTATTGCCTTTTGCTTGAGAGTTTTGTTTAACAGAGTACTATATCCTCAAGTTCAAATAGGTGGCTGAGAGAGGGCACTTTTGATTTCAGATGGTTCAGTGTATACAAACTTTATTTCATTCATGATATTATTTAAAATATTGTGTATAAAATTACCTTCAGGCTATGTGTATTAGATATATATAGAACATAAATTAATCCCATGCTTAGACTTGGGCCCCATCTCGTATATATCTCATTTGTGTATGTATTTCCAAATACAGGTATTTAAAAAAAAATCTGAATTCCAAAACTCTTTCAGTCCTAAGCATTTTGTTTAAAGCATACTCAAACTGTATAAGTCAGCTGACTTACTTGGAATTGAGTATCCCTTAGATGTGAAATGCTTGGGACCGGAAGCTTTATAGAGACCACTTAAAAGCTTCTTCATAAATGCATCCAGAGACACTTTTTCTTTCTTTCACTGCTCTCCATTTTTCTTATGTCTTTCATTTTGTTGAATAGACTTAAAGATCTGCTTGGGTTTTT